GGTTATTATGTTCAACGTTATCTCGGCTTGATGAGTTTTGATTGCAGAGATGTTAAGGCATGTTGTAAGCTCTGTAATGCGCTCATTCGTCCTCGTAATCTCTCTTTCAAAATTTTCTCAAATACTAGCAAAACTATGCTCAAGACGTTGGATATATCTCGCGTTGCTTTGGACGTCATGGGTGTTAAACCTGTGATCTAAGACTGCGACCCTTAAGTCGGAGGCGGCGCGCTCCAATTGTGCTTACATCTTGGCCATCTCGCCGTTCTGAGTTTGGAGCAGGGCCTTGCATTCCTGTTCGAGCTCAAACTTCTGGGTTAAGTAGAGATCTCCTTCTTCGTCAGCGAGTTCTTGGTCGCATTCGATGTCCGCGCTATTTCGACAAGCCTGGGATCGGTCTATCCATGCGGGTGCGCTGCGTTTTCCTGAGGTACGTGCCCTACGGGGGTTGTCGTCCATGCCGACAGTCTGCGCGATCCCACCTGAAGCAGCTTGGCGTTCCTGCGCGATCCTTCGTGAAACAGCTTGGCATTCCTGTACGATCCTTCCCCAAGGAGCTTGGCGTTCTTAGGCAATCCTTCTTGAAGCAGCTCGGCGTTCGTCCGTGATCCTTTATAAATCAGCTTGGCGTTCCTGCGCGATTCCTTCTAAAGCAGTTGGTCCTGTGCCCGTTGTTCCGTTGGTTCGTTTCGGAGTTGGATCCCTCGCTCGCAGCGACGGTGGCGGTGGTATGTCACTTCTGATTCTCCGTACAGTGCGTGGCATCGAGAAGCTGAGGCCGTTCAGCTTTAACCGCCCAAGTGATCGTCGTGCTCCGCCCTTCTTGCGTACTTCACTTGCTGTCGTGAGAACCTTTAGTTTGTCCTCCTGCTCCGCTGACTTCTTAAGAAGCGTCTTCAGCATGTCCTTCAGGGTTGTCGGATTCGTCGCAGTGACGTCGATAGCATCGTCGCATGCCTGGCTGCTCCTGGTGGCCCTGTTGTTTGGCTGCGACGCCGAGGAGTCTTTGCTGCTGTTAGTCATGTTGTCTGGCGATGACGCCAAAGACTCCTCGCTGCTGCTGTCGATGCGGTTGTCACCGGTGTTGTCAGTTCTGGCGATGTCTGTCACGAGGTTTGCTGCTGCGTCTTTATCCCCAAGTGTGTCGCTGCGCTGGTCAGTCATCGTGCTTAGGTTGCTTGCCGAGTGATTCCTTCGAGTAAGAAGATCTCAAGTCCCCTTAGACGGCGCCAAACTGTGGACGGCGGATCCTACACAGTTGAATTTGTCAAGGGTTGAAAAGAGAACTGAGTCTTCTGAGTATGAATCACGAAGCAAAAGTCAAAGATATGATTTATTGCTATTTTTGCTTAAGCTCTGATTACAAATGAATCGATCCCCCTTTTTTGGGTGAGTACAATGAACTATATATAGTACTTCTAAGTNAAATGGGCCAGCTAATAAATGGACCAGGTCCATTAAGCAATATATTACAATTAGGCCCATTAATCTATTAAGCTCATTTTGTTAATGGGTTTATTGTCATTTTGTGCCTAGATTCAGATTGGGTCCTTGCAGACTCGATCCGATTTCGTCAGGACGCTGCAAAGTTGATCACGTCATTATATCGATCTCATAGGGGAGAAATCCGACCTCTACAGCCAGCACCACTCGAGATCAACACTCTTGACCTCCGAGGTCTACATCTAGTCCTATGCTTAGAGCCACATTTTTAGACATTAATTGCTCTCAACTCATAACCACACCCCTCACACTCTCATGAAACATCTTTTGAGCTATCGGTGCACCATACCACTCACACTTTCAGGACACACAGTCCGTCGAGCTATCAGTATGCATGGGGAATCCTCATCCACTCGAGAGAAATTCTTATCTCTCAACAACATACAGAGAAAATCCTCATCCTCTCAGAAGAAATCATCATCTCCCAATGAGTTGTTCAGGGAAATCCTCATCCCCTAGAGCTATTAATTCTTAAACGTTAATAAGCATCTGTAGCTAGAACTACTTTTCATAGTTCTCACATGACATACCACTATCCCGGAATATCAGCTCATCCATGACCAATCCTCATGTCAACTTTAACACGACATTCCACTATCCCGGAATATCGTCTCATCAATGACAATCCTCAAGTCAACTCTAACATGACATTCCACTATCCCGGAATATCATCT